AAAAAAAAAAAAAAAAAAAAAAACTACCCTAACGGCAGGAACTTCATAAAAATTTGTCAAGAGACCTTTGTAAAACACTGTTGTCTTAATCAAGATGAGTTAAAGAAAACACTACCCCAGTAATTATGATTTTTAAACAATTGCTTGATTAAAGTTTAAACCTTCAAATTCAAGAAAGGTCCCCAAGAAACAAATCATTTCAATAGTCCACTTCACAAATTAAACATTTTTTGTGCTGTTTAATTACTATTATTACTATAACTTTTGTTAATGGTCATTAATGCAAGCAGATATCATTTAAGATCTGGTTCACTATGTCTCATCAAAAATCTTATTTAAATAAAGCTCTGCAATAATAGTTGTGTATAAAATCACCATTAAAATTCAAGACTATAAAAAGGATCCCTTAAAAGATACAAAAATGATCCATTTATATAAATACTATATATATATATATATTCAGCAATTATTAGAATCATATAAATAATATATTCTTCCTTCATCTCAAAATCTATAGAGTAGAATATTGGCTGAAAGAGACAGAGACCAAAAGAGAAAAGAATACAAAAGCATGCCTGCTTGTCTGTGTTCAACACAAAGAACATTAAATGAAAACAACTGGCATGCTGCCAAATTCCTATAGAGGCAAAGAGATTCAAATAAATTGATTTCACGCATCACACTGACCTGGGATCAGTGTGCAGTGCTACAATAAGCTCAAAGCTCCATGTGGGGTAAAGCCCATTAATGCTATCAGACCCCTCAAACATGACCAAGAAAAACTAAAAATAAATGCAGACACTCTCCAAAAACAGCCATAGCACTTAAGAAAATAACTTTGCTCTTTTCCTAATAAAGATACTAATATTCGAAGGTGCCGAGCATCATCTATATTGACATTTTGATTAAAAAATCAGCCTTTTCAAAACATAAATGTGGCATTCGAAACCCATACTTCTACGTAAAAACTGATACTACCTAAATATACCCTTCTAGATAAGGACGAACAAAACACACACCACTTTACAGCAAAAGTTTCCTTCCAATCTGCCCTCCCACATCTTTTTTTTTAATGTTTTAGAAAGCCAATGGAGTTGTTTTAAAAATATGCCAAATATTGGACACTTCTTTGAATTTTCCTCAATAGCTTGTAAGAACAAGCACCTCTGTCCAGAGTCCACTCCTAGCTGTCCCAAATCCTTCCAGTGCTTACAACGACATGCACTACAAGGCAAACAGTTCCAAACAGCATTCTAGAGAACTAAGCATTGTATTTTGGGTATGTTTTATAACACCAGAAGGAAACATACCAGCATTTTGCCCTTATCAGTAGTTCCACCCGGGGCTAGTAGCATGCCCACTTGGTATTGTTCTTCCTGAGGACACCACCCTAACACTGACAGGTCTGTTTCCAGGTGACCACTGCCTGGTTCAAACCTATAATATAGACTAGACTCTCTGGCGCCACCTCAGGCCATGCGCTCTCACACAGCCAACTGTTCACCTGGTAGTTCTTTGCTTTTTCTGCTTCCAAATTACAACTCCAGGAAACCAATGGATTCCAGGTGTTTGCAAATTTAAAGTAGACTTCTATTTTTCCCTACTCTTGGCCAAATTGAGTCTATTCTTCATATTTCTATTTATCATTACTATCACAAAGGAGGAGGAATAACTAGGAGTGAATTCTTAATTCTACATATGAAAAAAAACTTAAGTTACAAGTAGGCCAATACAAATGTGTATGTGTGTACACACAGGAAAGAGCAAGGAAGAGAGAAGAAACTTAACATGGCATTACTTTTCTTTTTTTTTTTTAGAGAGAGATTTTTGATATAGAGCACGTGTGCTCTCTGGAGAGACAGAAAGAGACAGAGAGACAGAAAAAGGCAAAACCCCCCAGGAGGGATGGCCACATCACAATCCCTTCTCCTCCATTCTCCTCTTGGGATCTTGAGCACGCACTCACATGAGCCCAGCACAAGTTTAAGTTGCTGGGTCTAGGCCTGAAATCACAGTCAACTATATGGGAGTACAATGACATAACCATTATGCCATCTGCTGTCCCTCAACATGATTATTTCTGATACATGAAGCTAGGAATTCATAATCTGCATATTATAACCAACAACACAAATTAAATTGTATTATGATATGTCCTTGTCATGTATTTTTGTTTCTGAAATAGATCTTCTATACCGCAATGGTTTACTACCTGTAGGCCACAGATATATTCCACATGACCAGAAGAGAATATCCTTGTAATGAGATGAGTGTAGATAGATAATAATTATATATATTGATAATATAAGATCAAGTTAGGGACCAGCAGTTAGCGTAATGGCTATGTTGCTGGACTCCCACATAGTAGACTGCGGTTCACGTCCCGGACCTGGTGGCTTAAAATTCACGCTGGGCGTGTGTGTGTGCATGCCCAAGATCCCGAGAGGAGAATGGAGGAGAAGGGATTGTGGCATGACCATCCCCCCGGGGGATGATTTCTCGCTTTCTGTCTCTGTCTCTCTCTGTCTGTCTGGCGAGCGCATGTGCCCTATAACAAAAACCTCTCCAAAAAAATAAAAAAATCAAGTTGTAAAATTTAATATCCCTTTCAATTTTTCTTCTGCACCTTAGGTATTTCTACCATATTAAAATAATCATTCATAGAGATACATAAGTCAGAAAACAAAGAGTTACATCTTGTTTTAAAACAGGTACTTTTCCTGACAGAAAATGATGAGAAAACAATTCTAAGGCAGTGGTGCTGGTTGTTAGTTTCCTTAAGATAATGAAGCCTTTTTGTCTATGTAAGACTTCAGAAGTCTAATCAACCAAGATTTGAATCCTAAAAAAATAATTTTTAGCAATAGTAATACATAACGTAAGAAGATAGAAGCAGAGATGGGAGATGTCTCAACTACTTCATACAATGAAATCCCTGCCTTCTTTCTTGAATTGATGTCTTCCATTAATTTATAGTAGAACATTATAACATAAAGAAAAAGGGGAAGGAAAGGAAGGAAAACACAAACACAGAAATCAAATCATAATTAAGGATTTCCCAAAGGAGTATATTATTCTACAGGGAATTACTTCATTTTCTCTGGTCTTTCTTTAAAACAAACAAACAAACAAACAAAAACTCATTTGCCAACTCCTTCCTGGGGACTTTTAAAAAGAAACCAGTAAGTACTGTATTTGTAAGAAATGCAAGAGCAGAGATTGTGGGATGGATACCAGCAAAGATGTTTTCAGAACAATGGCCACAGAGAAGAAAACTTTGTGACCCCTCTTTCCACAGGCAGTGGAAACTTGGTGACTCCTCTTTCAAGCAGTCAGGCACAGAACTTCAAGTGCCTTCCCAACCACGACTATGGCAGCCAGTGTCACACACCATTTGTGTCGACTCTCAACTTTTTCGTAGCACAGTTTATCCTTACTAATTTGTGTTTCTGCACAAGTCCACTAACTGCCAAACTTGAAACAGAGCTCCTTACAAGAGACATTAACTCTTTGGACCCATAATTCAGGAGGTGACTGAATTTTTAAATGTTCCCAACTTTAAGAAGTTCTTGCCAAATGGCAATATATGTATTGATAGTTCCTATCTGCTGTTTTCCTAAAGTCAGATATCACATTTTTTAAAATGTATAGATATGAATTCTGCTTATAAAGTAACATTCGCCTCAAAGTTAAAAAAAAAAAAGTCCAAGTCTATCAGAAGAAATAATAAACTGAAAAGCACTTTTGTGCCTGTTTGTTCAACAAACTGAGAAAACACCATTTCCTCGTTATAATAAACACAGAAAGCATGGCATAGCTTTTAATCTTGAACTCCAAGGACTGCTCAGCTTAGAACAGATGTATTATGAAACATGGCAAGAAGCACTGCAACAGGAAGAGGGTGATAAAAATTTGGTACTTGATCATTTGACATCTTCAGACCCAAAGCTATCAAACAGGGTTCCCACCATCAGATTGGTTCCCACCCCCAGACTGATCCCACCCCAATCCCACACCCCAAGATTTCAAAGACAAATGTTTAAAACATACAATATAAACTCTTTATCAACAGGCACTAGAATCAGGAAAGTAAGAGAAAAATGTTCACAGTTATAGTTTGTTGGGAAAAAAAATAATAGATTGACTTTCTGGTATGTACGTAAATTACAAAATCAAAATAGTTGTCTGTTCCTTACCTTGACAATATTCAAAGTTCCCTTTTTTCCGGCAGTCACCTATTACTAAACTCAGTGCTCTCCAAGTGTTTCTTTTGACAGATATCATTCTCCACCAATCGCTCTGCTAATTTCCTCTCTCCTTTTCTGACTGGGACAGAGATTATGTTCACCAGCCCAGAGATCAATCTTTTCTATTGACAACAACAAAGGGAAAAAAAATGCATATATCACAACCAGTCTGAAGTATCACACTCATCTACTTACATGATAATACTAGGCCACTTTTCTTATGTTTATTTTTAAGAAACAGACCCACAAACTCTTCTAAATTTTAGAAGAATCCCAAACAATCCCCATTGTCTTAGTTCCTACAATGACATGCTCTCAAGAACTTTGAATTTTCCAACAATCTGTCTCAAAGCTGGATACATTTTGAACCTACGAACTCTTTTCACTCAGGTTACTTTTAAAGTATACATGTATAACAAAACTTTAAGAGAATATGTTGGACTTTACCTGTTTAGATTTTTGTTTTTAAATATTCAATAATTTGTCAGATACTATGGCTGTTTCAAGAAACATTTTAGACATTTTATGTTTTTATTTTATTTTGTGGCATTTTACATGCAAGTTAAATCATGGGTCAAAACAAAGCAGTATCCAGTTTGTTCTGTTGTTCTAAAATTTCAGTATTGCCATTATTAGTGAACATAGCTTAAAACTGGTAATAGTGAAGAACAGTCTGTATGTAATTCACTAATTTAAAAATAATAGTAAAAACAATTATTGTTGAATTATTTTCTGAAGTCAACAATAAACTTCAACACTTTTTTTCTTCTAAATAAATCCAAATTTTCTCATTCTTCCTACTAGATTGGTCAGGTTCAACCTGAAAAACCATTCATAAACCTTTTTTGAATGCCTGTTACTCACCTACTACTACAATCAGTCTACGAGCAGAAAAAAGTATCATTATTTCATTTTTATAATCTATGAAAAATAAGGGCCTAGCATGTTCATTCACATGAAGCAAGAACTCAAAAAATAAAAAGCAATAAAGATTATAAAAGCAATCCCAAAAAGTATTACTAAGGGTGCTACTGTTCATATTTGAGACCAAATTACTTCTTTGAAATTAAAATTGGTGAACATACTCCAATGTATATAAAATAAGCAGACTCTGTTTAAAAAAAATCAATGCCCTCTATGTACCACTTTATGACTCTGCAGTGTTTCAGTTGTTTTATATCATTTCTTATGATTAAAAAAGAATTAAATGAGCACTGATTAAGAAACATATACTAGATTATTTCTTAGTTGAGCATTGCCTTGAAACTTAGCAAAAAGTCATTAACGACAATGAACTAGAAATTTGAATTTGGTTCACTATGATACCTAACAGTTTTATTAACAGATGATAAAGCAAAGATTTCAGTCAGAAATTAACCCAGATACACAGACATATATAGATTATATACTCAAACGCTCAGGGTGGGGAAGGGGCACACAGAGATTGGAAGTTATTATGTAAATATAATATTTATATTTACTATTATAAATATTTCCAATGTTTTTATACTAAGACAAAAGCATTTTATAAACAGAGGCTAAACAAATACCTGTATTAAGAAAAAGAAGAAAATGGACATTTTTCCTGGATTCAGTCATGATATATAATATTTTGTGCTTCAGCAACCATCAACAAAAGACATCAGAGAACCTGATAAAAGAGGATGAGTGGATGATGCCCCTGATTGGACCATAGCTAATACTCCCCACTAAACGAAGCAGGCAAAGCACATACAAATCCCCTAGAGTCTATTTCTTTGCTCATGCCTGCTAAATACCAGACAAATGCCTGGGTTTATTAACAAAAATAGTATAGTAGATCTCGGTTTTGAGGCAAATAAAATTACTATGTGGATAAACTTCCTTTAAAAGACAAATTTCTTAATTAGTGATGGTCTTTCAGTATATGAATAGCATATAATGCTTCACTTTCTAACTTTGCTTGTGGTATCTACTTTAATCAGAGTATTGTAAAGTGAAGAAAAATTGGCAGGGAGATTATGTTACAAAATGTTTTAAATGTATAGACTGATAAATTCTTAAATGTTAAAACAGGATAAAAATACACATTCAAACAATACACAATGTAAACTTAATATTACACATGAGAATTTTCCTCACATAACTGCTTTATATGTGAAACACAATATCATAATCAATAGAATAACTGACGAAATGAACTCATCTTTGGATTTTGTCAAAATAATGACTTTAGAGTATCATATTTGTGCTTCATACATCTAACACATAAATGTTCTATCAATGTAAAATAATAAAATAAGTCATGGTAATGAGTACTAGGAAATACATGTTTAAAGAATTGGGATGCTTGTTCCATAATAAGTTTGTATCATGTGCAGATTTTAGTAAAAATTTCACTCTCTTTAATAATTGCTTTTTTTGGATCTTGAGCCCTCCGATTTGTAAAACCTCATTATGAAGGGAACATACACTGAGAAGAGTTTAAAAGCTAAACTCCAGCAAGAGCAGAATGCCTCAAACAATTTGTAGCTCTACAAGAGTGTTATTAAAAAGGCTCAACATGTTGTATTACCATGGAAATTGTGGAAAACATACATTCCCAAACAAATATTACTTTTTCTCAATGGTATGAAGTAATGAAAACCACATGTGTAAATCTGCGATCCGTGCAGTAGTTCAAGCTGCAGCTAATAGAAAATACAGAAAGTGAACTCTGCTATATAAAGGATTCTTGTTACAGAAATATAATGTGAAAACCAGATGCAGACAGAAAACCTTAATCACAGATGGGAAGGTAATCACGGGCATACAGAATACTTTTTTGATCAATCTTAACCATATGCGCAATGTATTTATTTTCTAAGGAATGCAATAACTTGAGAGAACCTTCTATTTGAATTCAGTTAACCTCATATTTATAATGCTTTTATCTTACTCCCCCATCCCTTCAATGTGTACACTGAGCCAAGGTTTTAAAAGGAAAGAGTTGCTGGCCTTGGCAAATCATTCTTGTATCAGTTTATCTTTCAAAAATTTAATAGGATGTAAAGACTACACACATCAGAATCAACCTCAAAAGAGATCAAGTGCAGTTCTCCATTACTGTATTTCTCAATCACTGCCAGGAATCCTTTCATTGCCTAAACGCATTTCTCTAGAGATTTCTAGCAAATTCTATCAACATTTAGGGGAGTTTTTCCCTTAGTAAATAATACATAATTATTCCAAAAATGCACATTTCAGTGCATCTCTTTTTTAATCTATCAACCTGTACTGAATCAAATCTTTATTCTAACTTTTCTCTTCCCCTTCATAAAAACATTTTATATTGTAAAGTCTAGCTTTCTATTAACAAAAATACAATTTGTTTTTATTTCTGAAGGGAATGGCCACAAAGGAGCCTGTAATATCATATCTGATTTAGAAAACACTGTCTTGGTAAGTATCCCTTGGCTTTGGACTATAGCTTACCTTTGTCAAAGTTTCACAGCCTCATTTCCAGACTATTCTATATCTCCCTGGTTTGAAGTAGTGGTCAACAGAGCACCACACATACCTCATTTTAAGACTCTACCAGACTTCCAACAGGAAGTGACTGGGACATTATGTTAGTTGGGTGTCTCTCATCATAGATCATGTAATTATCCTAGTTCACAAGCTTCCTTAAGCTACCATGACATATATGTATCCAGGTACTCTCACTACTCTTCTGGATACAAACACAGAAATACACAGTCCTTGTTTTTGCCATATTTGGACAATCAAGACCCTCCATAACTTGATGCTAATCTATAGTTTTCAGCCTTAGCTTTGACCATGCCTGTACAGAGGGCAGCTCTTTGCTGGATAAAGTCTCCAAAGGAATGCTTCATCTTATCTTAATAGCTTCATTCATGGACCTCAGGGCTCTTTCCACAAATTGTTGCATGGCCAGTTTCTTCTCAACTCTCAGGTTTCACTTCAAGAGTCACCTCTTCAGACATGATTTTTCAGACCATCTTAAAGTCTTATCACCATTATCACTACTCTCATTATTCTAACACTGATTGTTTCTTCACTGTCTTCCTTGCATTTAACGCTTTGTGGACTAACCTTATTAGCTCCTTTATGTTCTGTCTTCCTCCCCAACTTCTAAGAAGTAGGCTTTACAAGAACAGAGGTCTTGTCTGTTTGCTCATTACTCTATCGTCCATACCTGAACCTGTTTTGGTAATAGTAGTGGCCGACATTAAAAACAATAAAACAGGCACCAGCAGATGGCGGAATGGCTATATCACTGGACTCCCATGTAGTCGACCATGGTTTGAGTCCCAAACCCAGCAGCTTAAAACTCATGCCACTGGGGCCAACAGGTGGCATGGTGATTAATGTGCTGGACTCCCACATGTCCAATTGCAGTTTGAGTTCCAGACCCGGTAGCTTGCTCTCTCATTTTCCCCTTCTCTCCCTCTCCCTCTTTCTGTCTCTTTGGTCAAATAAAAATTAATAATAAATAATAATAACAAATAAAATTAAATAAAGGGAAAAAACCTCATACTGGGCACGTGTGTATGCATGCCCAAAATCTCAAGAGGAAAATGGAGGAAAAGGAATTGTGGGTGGCTATGTCCCCTTAGGGGTGATTTCTCACTTTCTGTCTCTGTCTCTCCAGCAAGCGCACACACCATATAGCAAAAATCTCTCTCTCTCTCTCTCTCTCTCTCTCTCACACACATACACACACACACAAAAGGAATAAAATGAATGAATCCCACCACATGAAATACCACAAAGGCCCAATTCAACACCTGTGACTTTCACAGACTTTTCCTGGACCACTCCCAAGGCCTCTGACCTTTTCCTTATGAAGCTCCAATAGCACACATGGTCTCTATCAGGCTTTACCTGACAGAGAAGGCTCCTGTGAGCCATTCCTGTACAGACTCAGGCCAGCTTGGGAAGCAGCCAGGGCGTCCAGGGCCGTGAGGTGGCCCTTCCTCCCACCTTGAGCAGCAGGTTACTGTGACTGAGAACAGCAGCACAAGCCTACTCAATCTTAAAGACGGAAATGCACTCTAGCAGTTTTGATGCACAGACTTAACCCCCAATCCAGTTTGTCAGTTGTGGTAGGAAAGTGATCCCATCTTATTCTCTATCAGCC